GATCATGTACATAGATAAAAGACTCGTGCACAGCGAGCTTATCGATAACTTCCGGACGCAGAAGCTTCGACGCCTTTGTCGCCGTCATCTTACTCTGCTAGGTCCATAATCAAGTCAGAAGTAACAGAGGCGAGTAAACATCGGATAGACAACGTGCCCGCATCAGAAATTTGCGCCTACTTTGATGACTCATCAGAAGGAAACGGAAGGTCAGCTTTGGGTTTGTTTTGAGGAGATATGGCAAGACGCTTCTAAAAAAGAGCGGTATCAGATATCGAGGAGAGGTACTGGACGCGGAAATCATAGAGGCGCCAGAGGATCTTGAGGCGGCGCTGAGAATGAGAGAAGTGCAACATCGGCAGGGGAGCGATACGGCGAGTGAATGTGTTGCTAAACAGTCAGCATGCTGTAAAAGCATTTGGGACAGGCATCTCTTTAACCAGTCTCGAAGAGGTACGACAGTTTCGCATGCTTTCAGGATCAGCTATCGTGACAGTCAAGTGGATCCCCGGCCACTCAGGAATACAGGGGAACGAAGAAGCAGACACAACTCCGCGCTCAGATTTACGAATATTGCCTAGTCCGTACAATCAATCAGGATCCATCTCGTTTGCATACCTTCGCCGTATCATGAATAATCGGCTACAAGCTTTGCTTAGCAATTGGTGGGATAAAGCGTGCCCTATTCGGTATCGAAAGTTAGATCTGCTTATGAATCGGCGCAAGCCGCCAGAGCTGACTCTATCAAGGCATTTACTCCTCGAACTGTTTTCAGCCCGCATGAGCCACGTTAATTTCGCAGCCTGTAATTGACGATTCAACAATATAGATGCGCCGGCAAAGACGAATTTTTCACTTTCCTGTAGTGCCGGTGTAATCGCTCAGTATGCTCTGCATATCTAGGATAGCCAAGAAGAATCGCATCCGAATATAAGTCGAAAGCAACCTCAAGTATATCTAAAGTCGACGATTTCTTGTCAATATCGGACCTATCATTCTCACGCGAGTCCTCTACCTCAATTTTCTACACCACCCCGCCTCAAATATCAATAATGGCGTTACACCAATTGCAATCGGGTATTTGCCTCATCAAAAACCGGCCTTCTCCCACTACACATATACGATGCTATCGATACCTGCGAGGAGGAAATTAAGTCAAAATCTACAAAGCTCTGGTCTTGGTCTATGGGGGACCGTTGCTCCAACAGGGCTTCACATCTTGAGAGAGGACAGGCAGTTGGGGTGTGGGACGAACGAGTGAAGAGGTCACAAATGGGCATGCTGGGACGCACATTTTTCGAGTAAGTCGACTTAAGATTTTCTGTGGGTGCAGAAGCAACAATTTTGGATAGTGCAACCGACACTCTAAAAATAGGCAATGATGGAAGGTGTTTTGGTCCGCCTTCTGGTCGTCATCTCCACGAATTAAAGTCTGGGTAGCCTGGACACCTACCTCACTCAAGAGAGGGAGGACTGTGAGGCCATATCTCGCGCGGCGGCTATATATAAGATGCCAAAGGCATGTTAGGGTAGCCAAAGTTTTTTCATGTTTTCCTTTTGGTGGATAGAATAGAATAGAATAGAATTTAAGGTTTTGGTGGATATTAACGGTTGAGGGAAGGGTGAAAGACTCTAGCACAAAGGTCTCGAGTGGTATCAGCGAATACACCTACTACATGAATGGTCCAAATGTCAAACTGAGATATCGTCGTATATAGTCGTCAGGGAGGCTAGTATTCTCCGTGTTATGCTCTTTGAGTGCATGGCTTATGCCCGTCACGGATAAATATTCATTCAGTGCCTTGATAACAGAAAGACCTCCAGAATACCGCGCCCTTAGTACAAAACTAACCATAAAAAAATCGGAGATCAATGATATTTGAGATGGGGCCTTTGTTGACGATACAAACGTTTATACCGATTTAGCGCGGCTTCACCACTGTTACATAGAGAGAGAGGTATGTTTATTGAACTACTTAAGTCTTATATTATCTAACACATTGGGCTTCTTTTTGTCCCACGCCACACCTTGTACAGTGCTCCTATCCTCTTTTGTTACTTGAAAGATCATTGATATATTCCCCTTGATGAATAGCCATTCAGCTCAGTGTTTACCTGTGGAATTCAGCCACCTACCACTATCACATAGCTTCGTTAGCATCCGAGGCATGAATGCCATTCTGTTATCTTGATTCATCTCTTCTGTAATTTTTCTCCCATATTGTGTCATGTAAGGATAGCTGCACTCGAAATTAAAGTCCAAAAGATAACATAGCTTTCTAGCGAAACGGGTTAATTCCAGCATTTCACTGGGGAAAGGTAACTGTCGTCACGTGTTCCATGTTGATTAGCGAACGGCCGAGTTGTAAACTAGTAACAGTTGATCTGTTTGGGACTACTCCCAATGAGAAAGCCTCGCCCTAGACGTCCTACAGGATTGAGAATTTCCTTTGGTTTTACAGGATAACAAACCAAAAGATATAATACTGCCTCGAACCAGTTACAACCGAGACCGTAACAGCTACTGTAGCAACAGCAGCTAGCGCTACTCCCGTCCCAGGGTATTGAGACAAATCCAGACAGCTCCCTTTCAATCTGGATATTCCGCTTTCCTCAAGACCATAGCCGTCTTTCACGTATTCTTTATCTCTTTGGATGCCGCACAGTTACCCGAATCCTTCCTAAACGCTCGTCGATAGTACAGTGCAGGACGTGCTGGCTTTGGCACAACAGCCTCGCTTGTTCCCCTGCGCCAAGATGCCGCCTTTGTGGGTCTCCCCAACACACAGAGAAGGACCACAATAACCACGGCGCTGCACCGGCTGGACATACGTGCCCACCGCAATTTGCGTACTGTCACGGCCCTCATCCAGCAGACTACCCAACTTGTGAGCTACCGGCACAACCCTCTAATCCACCAAAGACAAAATCACAGATTATTGCCATCCGGAAGATCTTCTCCAAGGCACGCACTCGCCGCCAAGTAGAATCAGGATGCGTTAAACCCTCTGACACTACGCAGGCCTTCAGCACCTCTTAAATAGCATAGTACACTAGCTATCCAACAGTTTCCCAGGGAGCAGGACCATCAAGAATCGCAGCCGTAGCCAAGTGGACTCTTTTCTTAAACCCTTTCGAGACCTTGAAAACATCGGCCAGAGTGTTATATAATCAGATGGAACTTTGAAAAGATAAAAGTCAATGTGGCAAACTTCCAGCTTGCTTTGCACCAGTTTATGTCGTACTAACTTGCCCTCTCATATGTGGGTATTGCGTTTACACTTAAGGGGTTTATTTTTATTTTTTATTTTTCCCGTATATATCTTTTCCATCATTTATCATTGTCGTATCTTAGTCATCGGATACTCTCCTTAATTGTTGATCAGGTCTCACCTCCCATGGTTAGGGAGTCGTAGTCCTCCGACAACTGAGGCAGTAAGCTATAGCGTCCTTTGCTCATTTGGGTTTTAGATAAGACGTGCATAAGCCCGTTTTTAGATGTTAAATACAAAACAAATATACAAACAATATAAGCATAGAGGTTCAAGCAACCTGAAACCGCAGCTTGTTTCACAGTTATGTTTTTCCTGCTTACCCGTTGCCTTGTCTAAAAAATCACCAGGGATAGAGATTTTATCTGTGATAAATTGCGTGTGCCAGGCGAATCGATCCCTCATTTCGATGAATACACTTTGTTCTTCGCGTCCGGCCTGCGTTGTGCTCAGTCATAGGGCATGACCCTCAAAATTAATTGGAAAATATTGCAGAAATCTTAACTTAAAATTACTAATAAACTTGATAGCCTTTGCATTCCTTTATTTTCAGAGACTAAGTAGTGGTTTGAAAAAAATCCAATCCGGCTTTTAGTCTTACAATCTAGCCCTCGTCCAACTAAACATGTGTCTGTACCATTCAATGCGATCGATGCTGAACGACTGCCGCTAAGATCGGACAAATTTCATAGGTTCAGATCAGCTGAAGATCCAAGTTCAAAAGTTCGAGAAACAAAATAAAAAATTAGGTTTGAGTTTGATGATGGATTTTGGGGTTCTTGAAATATACATGTACATATTAATGGATTACTGCGTAATATACTATAGTTTGGAATATAACGTCTTCGAGAAAAAGGAAAAAAATACTGTGAATCAATTAGGAATAGCCATCTACTTGTCAGCTATGGAGAAGCAGTAGTGTATGCATTTTATCCCTATAACTGAGTACGGGCAATTTTTCTAGTGTGCGCCAAAATGAACTACTCTCACAGGTTATGTTAAGGATGCGATTGACAAAGATTATACGATCCCTACAAGACTAATCAATGTGATTGAATTTATGACTGTATGAACTACCGCGGTCAAGTATATTATTTATTAGTGTGTACAGTTGGAAAAAATAACATAAATACAAACACTAGATTTTCATGGGTATATTACAGATTTTTTGTATTTTTGGAGTAGGTCACGTCTGGGGCTAAAATTATATTGTCAATAAGCAGTAGTTTCTCATATTTTCTTATTGGCACGCAAATGTGGCACCAGCTGACATACGCCGTTAGTTTGTAATAAATCTTTGTAGTGAGCAGTAGCAGATGAATTGCTGTCTCTGGTAGTAGTTCCAACATAATTGCAAGAGACTGGATTTGGTGTGTCCAATAAATTTCGATGGCTCCATGAATAGCCAGACGCGTCTCGATTCTGACACATATAGCCGCCAAAACAAATATACACAAATAGAGGTCAGCTGAACAGATATCGCTTAGATGTAGACCCTCCTGTGACGCCCCTTGTGGCAATCATCCTTGAACCCGCCGGAATCACTAAAACTCTCGACGATGGCACCGCGATAACAGTACATAACACCGGTTGAACTGAACAAATAACTGTTGTACGGTTCAATAATTGCCCTAGACACTTCCCCAGATGAAATCGCAGACTCGACGTGAGCCCTTGGTGTCACTTCATACGCTAGGGGGTGATATATTTACTCTGGTTTGAGTTCCCATGAAGGTATGTCAGGAACCGCATATTTTATATTTATGAGCATGTGAGCTGTCTATGTATGCAGCTCACCATGGTCTGCACTGATTTTAATACAACATGCTATTATCGCTAACTATTCTGAAAATATAGACTTCGTCCAGACCCCGAGAAATCGTAGTGGCTCATGCCAGTAAACGTGAGCATGCTGCACGTATATCTATCAGCGATATGAATCATCACGTTACGGAAGCAATCGGTGACCTCTATGGCGATGACGACTACACGAATCGAGATTCTCAATCTGCCACAACTGAAAACATAGAACAGAATGAGGCATCAAGCCTTGAGGAGTCATACTTAGATAAAAGAAATTCATGGACAAGATCTATAGTGAATGGAAAAGGGTTACCGCTAAGATCGATCGCTTCTCCAATAACAAATACAATGCAACGAAACTCTTTTGATGCAAAGAATCTACCTCAAACTCTCTCATTACGAGAGGAACCACCAAGTACTCAATTTCCTCTCAATGATATCGATTATGAATCAGATCCTGCTGAAGTAGCACAAGCACTGTCAAATTTGCAAGCCCTCCGGCGGCTATCGATGGATGTCGGCAGTACAAATGATCCTGACCTACCGTCTTTTCAAAGCGCCTCTATGATGCCTTCGATTGCACCAACTGGAAATGATAATGGTGATGATCCCTCCCGACTATTTTGGGTGCCAGCTAGAGTGCACCCGGAACTAGCACCAATGGAATTCAAGACTTTTCTAGAAAATCGAGTTCAGTCTATCAAGCGGCAGCCTGGTGAACAAAGATCTTCCACAGATATGTTTAATCGGACAGGAACTTCCGAAGGCTCTCTACAAAGAAAAAAATCGATGTTATCCAGGCAGGTCAGCAGTAAAATTGAGCAAGATTTCAATGACGAAATAGGAACCCCCGGACAAGTTTATAGAAAAAGTTCGCTTTCTCAGTCCATATCAGAGCCTAAAGGTATCGACTTGAATGAAATAGATGCCTTAGTTAGGGATCCCTCAAAAGTAATGATGAAGTTGACTCTTGATACAAAGAATATTGAAGGTGCTGGAGATTATGAAGATACTCCTATATTACCTCAAGCACCTGAAATTGGATTACGGAGATCGACAAGAACGACTTATCGGAGAGGTAGTTTGAGAAAAGGAGAGCGGGTTCCTTCTTCCAAACGAGTTGGCACTCTGAAAACAAACACTGACGGTGAAACTTACTCCATGCAGAATGAAGGAAACAAATCCCCGGCTCATATTGAGCCATTGGAACCCGATAATTTTTCTCATCCAACTCGTGTAATTCGGCGGTTACAGAGTCTATCTAATTCTACGCCAGTAACACCAACTGATGGCTATGAAACAGACAGCTCTATAATAAAGGATGGTCTGATATTAAACCCAAGTACCAAGAGCACAAACAGCATTGAATCCTCTCAAAAAACTAGATCGGGCTATAGTTTAAGTGCTACAGACTCGTGTACCGATTTGCCTCAAAGAAATTACACAGTCCATACAGAAAAAAAATTTATACCAGAAATAATCGAGACCCCTCCACTAGAACTTCAAACTTATCAAACGACAGAAGGTCACACAGGGCTGTATCAAGATGTATCTTCCAGACAGACCCAGACCGCATCTCAAGCAATCAAAGCTACATGTGAGCCTGTCACTCACCAATCTAAGCGTCCAAATAGTCCAAATTCTCAAGTACCGCAAATGAAAGTGGTATCTTCACCATCAACAAACGAGGTATTATCTCAGGACCCATCCCAATTAAGCAATGGTGCCAAGACTGAGACATCTTCAACAACACCAAATGTCGAGGCCAAGAAGAATGACAAAAAGTTAAAGAAAGACAAGGATGAAACTGAAAGCTTGATATCAAGAAAACCAACTTGGAATTGGTTCAAGGGTAGTGATGAACGAGAGAGAAAAGAAAAGAAGAAAGAGGAAGATAGAGAAGGTAAAAAGAGTAAGAAGGTTTATGCTGAAAAATCCCACGATACTGCCAGACTAGACGTATTACAATCCACCTTAGACACCGGAGCCTTCAAACCTCGAGAAAGTATATTTCTCGATCGGGAAAGTGTAGAGGTCAAGCCTCTAGAGGATAAAAGGAAGGAAAACCGCAAAGCTAGCGGCGAGAAGAAAGAAAAAGATAGTATATTTTCATCTATTTTTGGTGGAAGCAAAAGAAGAGGTGAACGTGATGCCAGTGGGAAAAAAGGCACTTCACTTCGAACTCTATCACCAGAGCCGCCTCTACGGCAACTTAAACCTGACGTCGATTATAATTGGACCCGATTCTCTATTCTTGAAGAGCGAGCTATTTACCGGATGGCTCATATAAAATTAGCCAATCCTCGACGAGCGCTTTACAGTCAGGTGCTCTTGAGTAACTTCATGTATTCTTACCTTGCGAAGGTACAACAAATGCATCCTCACATGCAGATACCTCAGTCAGCTCTACAGAAGAAGCAGGAGCTAGAGCGACGACAGAAGGAACAGGAGCAACAATCGGCGCAACATTATTCTGAAAATGGCCAGTATCGCTATGATTATCATCAGGTTAGAAGCTAGGCTTTTCAAAAGATCGAAATTATAGGAAAAGGCTAACTCTGAGCAGGGTATCGCGCAATACGCTGAAGGTGATCATACTAATGAAAAGTCTGAAAGAGTTAATTACGTTGATGATTCACAAATCTACGATTATGATCATCAAGAAGGCAATGCTAATCAGAGGCAAGACTTTCACCGACCTGAATCCCGAGCCTCACAACATACAGCGGAGACATTGTACGAAAACCAAGATCAATACGGGCGACGAGATGATGAATACTACCAATTTAGCGATCAGCATGACGACATAGATGAGAGCGATATGTGGTAATCGTTTCTTACATGTTTATATGTTTTGGAGTTAGCAGAGACATGATGGAGTTCGGGTGTAATCATGTTCGGAATGGGTCCACTTGTTTCTGATGGGAAGCGGTTGGAAGCATGGCGCTGCAATATGAATGATAGGTTGGTAGTCATCCTAGAGGCTATGAAGGCGACTACGATGGGGAGCTACGGTTTTGTTAGGGCACGCTAGATCTGGCTTCCTAGAAGCGCAGCGAAACGAAATAAACATGATGCTTCACATTAACGTACACTATCATTGCAAGCAAATTACGTAGCATTTAAAGAGTTCTTGAGGACTCAACTGATGCTGCTTACAGCCTCATATAAATTTGTCCAAGTGATTCTAGCGAATCTTTAAACAGTAGAGAAAACCCATTAGAAAAGACGGGGAATAGATATGGAGATCGATACTAATGCTACTCTAATTCTACGCAAGCGACAGATATGTTATCGAGACCATCGAGTCGCGATTTTTTATTATTTTTCGTTGAAGTTGCCATGTTGCCAGCCTCAATATATTGAAAATTTGTAGTGGTAAGAGCTTTATTCCCAATTTTACATCTCTAATCAGACGAGATGGGTGAAACTTTCAATGAGATAGCAATTAGAAATTACCGGAAGCTAATAGTCTATCGACCACAGTTTACGTTCAGTACATGAATCGATGGGTACTACTATACTTACACTTTCTGATCCTTAGACAAGAGCCACCGATAAAATGCAGAGACCCGATATGAAAGCACGATATGGAATTTAACAGACAAACTAACCTAAGGATATCAAGCGACGGATGAGGAAGTCTTAACTCCTATTAGTGGATTCTCTCACAGCTGAGGATCACTCACGACAAAGGATAGCTTTGCGAGTTTTCGACGAAATAGCTTTTGGAAGGAATGATACTGATAAATTCTTGGTTGAGCCCCATACCTGAACGAATTCTATGACTGCCCAAATCAAAGACTTAATTATTTTCCTTTCAAATACAAACCGCGGATAGCCACAAGCTCAACTAGTGTTCTTGTTCAAAATAACTAAGACTCTTCATCCTCTTAGATTTTACTGGAAGATTTTCTCAACTAAACTCAACTTAAGAGACTTTGCAAGTTCGACTTGTAACACACTAGATCATGCCAATATGTAGAAATCAAAGTCGAAACATAAGACACGAGAATACATCTGTCTCTATAACTTAAGCGTGATGTGAAGGTGCGGTCGAGGTGCCGGCCTTGCATGTGACCACATCTTGGCCATTTGCACCAATAAATCTAACTGCGACAAATCACCAACAAAATAATTATGAAATTTTGCCTGCATATGAACGAATGAATTTGGCAGAGGCTCGGAAGGGATTTATGCCGCGGAGCTTTGATATCGGATTCTCTAGAAGATCGGAAATTACACGCAAAAACAATGCAGTGAAGTTCAGGGTGGTAAAAGGCTCGCGTAGTCAATGGTTGTTAACCTGGTCTAGCTCAGTTATACTCGTGTTCGAGCTTCTCAGAGAACGCGAAGGCCGTCAATTACTCAGCACGCTAATACAAAAACAATTAAACCAACCGCAAGTGGCGTCGCTTCTAGACGAGAGCCAGTCTAGCACGGCCAGTGTGGAGAATTAGCCTGCTACTGACATCCCAAGGTATCGAGAACTCGGATACTCTCCGATAGTGAGCCTGACGCTGTAAGTGCTAGGAAAAGTGGAATTTAGCCACCCCATTGGCCTTTCAACAAGGATAGGCGGCGGGTTCACAGATAGTGGTGAACTAGATCCGGACACCTGTCAACGTCGTGCCCCACAAATAGGGAGGTCAGCTACTTTCCTTCGAAGTCACATTCCAGTTGTGAACAAGAGATAGACAGTTTATACGTGTAAGCCTTGGGATCAAATGAGGTAGCGTAATAAGGCTCATAGGGAAATGTTTGGGTAGATATCACTACAGATTAGGATTTCAAATATACCCTAAATTTTCTGCGGATAGAGTACAGCTCATGGAGGGCAAGACTGAACACCTGTACGCGGTATCCTCTACGAATCTAGGAGTGAGATATTCTCTCAGAGCCATGTTCAGTCAAATTTTGCTATATGAAATAAGCTGGCCCACGAGGCAATGATTCAAAACACTCCACCACGTCAATTTATTACTTCCAACAAGATCGACTCATACCTAAATCTCATCAATTCTACAAGTACGACTCAGTAAATCCTCATTCCAATGATAACACCTCTTTTCGACTTTCTCTGGCCTCAGCTGGTCACCAAATACACGCTCACGCCGATATATAAGCCCGACGGAGGAAGCAAAGCGTTGTGCACAGGTCTGGGAGAAATTTGTTTGGGATGGACGTTAGAGGAATCAGGACAAGTTCACGAGATGATGCAAAGGAAGGATATAACCTCGATGAGCGCGAAATTTCAAATTTTGGTAAGGAGTTCACCGAACTGGGTTTTGTGCGTGCCAAAGCTTCGGTTGCGAGGGTGCAGGCGACACTATAATCACCACCACGGTTGGATGGTGCGGTGGTACATCGTCTTGGCCGGTCTGCCAAATAAAGTCTGGATAGCTTGGACACATACCCCACTCGAGACAGTAGATCGCTGGTTCAAATCCGGCAAAACACAACCACATTTCTCGCGGCGCTGGTATACATAGATGACAAAGGTATGCTTGGATAATCAAAGGTTTTAAATCGTCCCTTTGATGGGCACTCACAGAGGAGGGTCGACTGTTTGTGTAAGCTAACATACCTCATAGTGGTATTTGCGAATGAAATCCAGAGTATGAGTGTATCTAACGTCAAAAGAGTCATCACACATGTATACATAGCACCGGTCATGTGTCATAGCTTTATAGCTGAATACACATTAAATGATTAAAAAAAAAACACCAATTGATCCGGCGACAACGACAGGAGGTTCGTAGAGGATACCACTGATAGTTGTTGAGTTTAGTTCCCCCTAATCACGTGAATATGACCATCAAAAAGGCTCGATCTCCCCGTTAGTTTGTAATAGAGATGAATTTTGAATGAGTCATTCATTTTTGCAATCGTAAACCCTCTTAAGGTTGACTTCTGCTTAAAATAAGTCGACAAAACTCCTCTCCATCGTCACCTGGATAGTAAATTTAAGATGCCCTATTTTTGTAATATATGATCATTTCCAAGGGAATTACTGAAGTTCATATTTGGAGAAGATAATACTGACATGTATTCAGCCTTAATTTCTTGAGAAGGTTTGGGAATGTTGGAGTAGTCAATATATGTCGAGGTTTTCCCTGCAGGGTATGCACGGCCTAAATTAAGACGCAATTACCAATTGAAGGAATAGAAATCAACATCAGTATTTTTGAATCACTTCGTAAAGGAACCGGAATCTTTTAAGCAGCCATTTGTATCCCTTTGTCTTGAGTCCTTTGTATCCATGAACGGCTATTCATATATCTAAGCAGAGATACAAAAATTAACATAAATTCTTCACTAAGAATCTCACAATTCTATTAGATAAGATAGCAATCCTGCCGTCATCTAAATGTACCTCTTACGAAGTTATTAAAGGAGGGCAAGACTGAACACCTGTACGCGGTGTCCTCTACGAACCTGGGAGTGAAATATTCTCCCAGAGCCAAGTTCAGTCAAATTTCGCAATATCAAAGAAGTTGGCCTACGAGGCAAAAATCCAAATTACTTATCCACGTCGTTGTTTCGCTCCCAACGAGTTTGACTCCTATCTTCGTCTCATCAAGTCTACAAGTACGACCAAGTACATCCTCATCCCGATGACCACACCGCTCTTCGACCTTCTCTGGCCTCAGTTGACCGCCAAATACACGCCCACGCCGATATTTATACCCGACGGAGGAAGCAAAGCGTGGCGCACAAATCTGGGAGATAGTTATTTGAGATGGACTTGAGAGGAATCAGGATAAGTCGACATGATGATACGAAGGAAGGATAAAACCTCGAAGGGCGTGAAATTCCGAATTTTGGCAAGGAGTTTTTCGAATTGGGCTTTGTGCGCGCCAAGACTTCGCTTGCGAGAGTGCAGTTGACACTATAAAAACAAGCAAACGATGGAAGGTGTTGTGGTCCGCCTCCTGGTGGTGTTCTCTGGTATAGTTTGAGTAGCCTGGGCACCTACTCCACTTGGGAAGGAGACACCTCAGATCACATATCGCGCGGAGAAAGGTTGAAAGATGATGGAGGCATGTCTGGATAACCCAGGGTTTTTGAGATGTTCCCCTGGGTGGGTATTCACGGATGAGGGTTGACTTGGGGTGAAGAAAAAGCCACCATAACTTCGCAGTGGTACTTGCAAATGAAATCCGAGGCATGAGTGCTCTTCTTGTAAATTGAGTCATCTATCATACACTTCTCTGATATTGTGTCATAGCTAGATAGCTGCATACGCAATTAAAATCTGATGCAAAAAAAAAAAAAAAAAAAAAAAAAAGAAGTTATTAAAGCTTGTCGCGTGGAAGCAAGGGTCCGTCCCTAAAAACTCGTGATAGATGGATTCACAGACATTTAAAGTGTCTTGGTGCCACAGGGCGAGGCCACTCAACATGAGGTACATATTACAAATGAGTTGTGCGATGGGAAGAGAAGAGACTATCTAGCTACACGAAGGTCTTGAGGGGCTCAGTTATCGCTTAATCTCAAACCACGCCTACTACCTTCCTACTACCGTGAAACTTTGGAAAGGACTCCTGCAAACGGGATGTGTATCAATAGCTTTTTGTGGAGGCTTCTTGTATGCAAATCACAAATTTTAATGGATGACAACCTTTTTGATAAATCTAGGAGAGTTTTTTTGGAGCAGAATAAACCTTAGTCTCCAGAAGAGTAAATTTTTGTATCAGTCATTACGATCTGTTCTATATTACTTCTACTACTTCGTGCTCATGGTTTTAAAATAATTTAACAATGCGGTTGTTTTTGATGCGCAAGGCCTCATCTTTAATCTACTTTGATATACCAGTTCCATTAGATTTTCATTCATAACCTCATTAAGATACACTCCTACTTTATACTACCCTCCAAACTAATATTTCGGGAAACTTACATAATCATGGGGCCTCGCTCAGGCGATAAAAATTTGAAGGATCTTCGGGCAGCCCTGTAGAAGGATGATCTGAAATTGATGCAGGTCGCTGGTAAGGATTAAAAGGCACCTGATTCGTCGCGGGTTGCCAAACACCCAAAGATTCGGTGGACTGGTTAGACACGGGATAGCCAGCTTTTAAAGCAGGTGGAGGATGTAGGTTTGTAAATGGGGTAGTGGTCTCATTACTTGGCTGTTGCTGATTGTAGACTGGTTTTTGCGGAGGAACGTAGGCGCTGTATCTAGGTTGAGGTGTGGAAGACTCTTGGCCTGCCGGACTGACAGGATAGCCACTGTCTTGTGGATATCCTTGAGTGGATGCCTGTAGACGTAAGTTATTGTTATATTTCGCCGTATGTAAGGACTCGTGTAGGCGATCTTCAATGAAAAACGTACCTGTGATGGTTGGGGAATAGGGTATGAGCTTGTGGGCGGTGGACTTGTCTGGAGAGGTGCAGGCTTTAGTGCACTTAAGGAGTCAAAAGACCCAGTATCTTGATGAGAATTTTGATAGATTGGACCATGAGTTTCCACAAAGGATTGTTGTCCTGGAGGGGCGACATAAAATGGTAATGGACCATTTCTTTGAGGATGGAACTTTTGAGAAGATGGTGGGTTTTGTGGATAAGATGGCTCTGACAAAGTGTGAGCGTGACATTACTTTCAAAACCTACCCGACTAACCATTATGTAATGAATTGGAGGAATAAAATGTTTCAGGACCTTGTTGAATGGTAGATGGCGTTGGATATGCTCGGCCTGGTGAGTGGCTGGTGTACTGGCCATAAAGAGACTGATTTTGAGTCATGGAAGTGTCGAGTAAACTTTCATAGTCGCGGCAAGACTTGATGAACCTCTCATTAAGTTGGGTGAATTCATCTACTATGGTTAGCTAGAAGCATAGGCTTTCATGGTTTCAACGTACCCTTTTTCTGCGAGTATTTGCTAATCAATTCGATAAGCTTCGGTCGAATAGCTAGAGTCGAGTAGTATAATTTCTACAAAGCTTTAGTGTTGATAATTGAATTGCCTCAAAAGCTTACCCCAATCTCGTCATTATCCTGAATATTTAATTCAGGACTTGCTTTACTTAATAATGTGAGTAATCTTTCGACATTTTTGATTTCTGCAAATACTTCGGCCTCTGTCTGAGCCTCTTTTTGAATTTCTTCAGGTGTCGGATCTGCGAGTTTTTCAACATAATTCAGTGGAAAGATACCAGTCTGTCCTCTGAGCAATCCCTTCCACCAATCCTTATATACAGACTCTAGGACTGCAATGACATCACCCTTTACAAAAGTTAACTCATCCGGCTCGGAAGCCTGAAAATTGTAAACCGCCCGAACTCGTGAGACTGTGGCGGCTGTGGTACAAGAGGCCAATGGTTTACTGGTTGCTACTTCAGTTGGTGCTTGGTACAGCTGGTTCGACTGATCTAACTGCGTTGTTGACACTGCTTTGAGCTGTACATTTGATTCTTCTGGCTTATCTTGTTGAATTGATAGCTTGAGCGCCATCTGTAGCTCCTCCTCCTCTTTCTGCCGATCCAAGTCCGTTAGACTACTCTTTATTGGTGCTGAGGGGGGGTGTAAATTTGGATTCTGGCTTTTAAGCTTCAGGTACTGATCCTTCATGATCCCAAAATCTGGATCCTGCAGCATTTCTGCCCACTCCTGCATTTTTTCTAGTATTTTTGACTTAACTTGTTGATGAGTATTCCTATCAGCTGCTAAGCGGAGCAGAGCATCTGTAAACGCTCTTGAGGCAAGCTCTCGATGGAATTTGGGACCACAGTTTTGGTTCAACGAGTTGGCAAGCTTTTCAGTATGTCAATGATGATATTTAGTGAAATCGGGATTGCTGTATCTAACCTCCAACGTGTAGAGTTGTACGTTGGCATTTCGGTGTGCCAGCCGCTTTATCATACTAGCTACGACATCTTTACTACCATTTTCTTCAACTATTACCCTATCGCAGATATCCATGATATATTCCCAGTTCTCCGAAGTTAAGTTTTCATCAGTCGCCTTGACTAAAAGATCTCATTAGCACACTGAATATTCATACAACAATTTCGATGAGTTAATAACAGTTACATACTGACGGCATCATCAAATGGATTTTGTTGAGTCCGAAACATTTTTATTTTGATTTAATGTGGCTCTTGGGCATTTTAGAGATAGAATTGTCAATCTGGTCCACGGAGCGGGGGGGCGACGGTGCCCCGCTTAGTTTATGATTTGCGTTCCTAAGCCAGCTTTCAACATCACGGCAAGCCACAATCCTCAAAAATTCCGTTCCTCTAACTATAATCTCCCTACACCTATCACAAGTTTTCATCGGCACACTCATAGCTCCGTAACCGTAAGTGTATAATCCTACAAACGTAAGCCCCGTAGCGTGAAGAAGCTCAACTTTTTTTAATCTACACATATACGTCACACAGCACAGACAAGCCGAAATGCTCAAGTCTACAAGTCTACAAGTCTACAAGTCTTTCTCTACCTCTCTAAAAAGATAAGCTGGGTGATTCATAGATTGTATTACGTTTAGCAACTCGTACTGTCACGAATTCAACCGGTAGACCATGCGATAGTCTAACAAGATAAGCAAAAACGCTGTCATCTCTACACACACTCCAGAAACCCTATCAAAAGACTCATTTCTATGATGAGGAACTTTCTAATCCTTGTTTCTAACACCGAGATCTCTCGTAAATTTCTTATCGCTTCCTATCAAGAGGATCCTTCGTTTCGCCCTCAATCTTGTATCAGCCAGCCGTCCCCATAAAGTACTCAAAATTCACATAAAGAATTAGTCATATAAGCTCAGGCAGCTATTAATGATATTCAATCCTGAATTTCTTGCAAACTTATCAAAGTTTTTTAAAATCATGCTGTTTATATGTAAGCGATAGCAGAAGTTTTGTAATTACATTTTTTAGATAGAAATATGTAGAAATAAAAAATGTTAGATGGGCCCAAAGAAAGCCACAGTCGGGTCATGAACTGGAAACGACAGACGCTTCTCGACGAATGGTAGGAAGAAGCATGTCCACCTAGGTATCGAACTCTAAGTCTTCTCATGCGACGACGCAAGCCACGCGAGCAGGCACTTTCCCGGCGGCTACTACGTGAACTGATCTCAGCCCGTACGGGCCACGGAAACTTCGCGACATGTCACCGCCGTTTCAACAACTTCGCCGCTTCAATGGAGTGTGCGTGTGGAGAGTGTTGGTAAAACACGAAGTAATACAAATTGGGTGCCGTCACGAAGTCAGCTGTCCGTCACGAAGTTAGTGGATGATTTCAATTAACTGGGATCTCGAAATACATAAGACGTTGTCTCTCCTTTTTCCACTCCATCTCGCCGGCAAAGACGAATTCTTCACCTTCCAGTGGTGCCGGTGTAATCGCTCAGTACGCTCTGCATATCTGGGATAGCCAAGAAGAATCGCATCCAAATCCTAATCGAAGTCGAAAGCAAACACATGCATATCTCAATTTGATTACTTCTCAATCTTGCAGCACTTACCATTATCTTCTGAGTCCTCAACCCCGATCTAACCACATATCATCTCGCCTCGACGACCGATAAAGGCGTTGCCCCAATTGCAAACAGGAGCTTGCCTCAATCATTACCGGCCATCACTCACTACATATTTACGACGCTATTTTTACCCGCAAGGAGGAAATTAAGTCATAATATACTAAGTTGGGGTCTTGGCTTATGGGGGGCTGCTGCTCTAACGGGGTTATACATCTTGAGGAAGGACAGGCGGCTGATATGTGGAGTTAGAGAGGAAAGAGGTCTCTGAAGACCATGCTGGGACTGACATTTTCGAGGGGGTTTCAACTTTGGATTTTTTGTGGGCGCCAAGACTAAGATTTCGACTAATTAGCCAGGAGGGCTTCTCTTGTCGATGAGTTAACGGCACCCCCCAGCGCCCTGGACGGCACAAAAGAAGCTAGGCTAAGCTACCGTACAGCAATCACGCTCTGTCAAGACGTTTCTGACATTTCAGTACGACCTTCGGGAAGGAGTTGTAAGGAGTCTAGAAAGGCAGAGTGTGAATTCTCCGGGGTACCCACAAGTCTGCAGCGCCCAGCTGGCTGGTATCTTCGAACGCTTCAGAAGGATCACTATGTCTTCGGATTTAGTCCTAATGTCGGTATTAGAAGAGCTCAGCACCCAGTGGTTTATGCGACTTTTCACGGCTGCCATACACCCGCAAATGGCCATCGTTTCGTTGGCTGGAGAGGGGAGATAATGAAGGGCAAAGGGCTCCTTTTAGTGTATGAACCAATGAGGACTTGTGAGGGGTGGTAGTGTTTGAGGGGAGCTGTATGGGAGGCATAGGAGGGGATATACTACAGGTATAGGTATCCTTGGCCTGTAGGTAGGGAGGACCTACATGTCCTACATAGTCATAGACTCAGACAGGACAATAAAATGAATTAATAAATTTAGGGCTCATGATCATATGAGTGTGCATGGCGCATGAGGCCATCACGTACTTCTTCCGCGACTGCCCAAAATTAATAGCTTGATTAGGTCTCTAATATTGGCAGCTGCTAGAATTGTGTGCAACATGTTGATGGAACCAAAACACTGGAGGGCAAGACTGAAAACCTGGACGTGTTGTCCTCTACGAACCTGGGGGTGAAATATTCTCCCAGAGCCAAGTTCAGTCAAATTTTGCAATATCAAAGAAGTTGGCCCGCGAGGCAATGATTCAAATTACTCCTCCACGTCGTTTTTTCGCTCCCAACGAGTTTCATTCCTACAAAAGTCTCATCAGGCCTACAAGTACGACCAAGTATATCCTCATCCCAATGACCACATCTCTCATCGACCTTCTCTGGCCTCTGTTGATCCCCAAAAACACGCCCACGCCGATATTTATACCCGAAGGAGGAAGCAAAGCGTGGAGCACAAATCTGGGAGACAGTTCTCTAGGATGGATGTGAGAGAGTTCAGGACAAGTCTACGAGATGATGCAAAGGAAGGATACAATCTCGAAGGACGTGAAATTCTGAAATTTGGCAAGGAGTTTTACGAATTGGGCTTTGTTCCCGCCAAAGCTTCGGTTGCGAGAGTGCAGCTTACACTATAAACACAAGCCAACGATGAAAGGTGCCGTGGTCCGCCTCCTGGTGGTGTTCTCTGGTATAGTCTGAGTAGCCTAGGCACCTACTCCACTTGGGAAAGAGACACCTCAGATCACATTTCGCGCGGAGAAAAGTTGAAAGATGATGGAGGCATGTCTGGATAACTCAGGGGTTTTGAGACGTTCCCCTGGGTGGGTATTCACGGATGAGGGTTGACTTAGGGTGAAAAAAAAGCCACCATAACTTCGCGGTGGTACTTGCAAATGAAATCTGAGGCATGAGTGCTCTTCCTTTACGTTGAATCATCTATTCTGTACTTTTCTTTGATATTGTGTCATAGCTAGATAGCTGCATACCCAATTAAAATCTGATGCAAAAAAAAAAAAAAACACTGGCTGTCAAAGATGACTATGATACAGCGCTTGGCTTACATATTTCACACGACCGAAGTATCCGCTCCCCATCCAGTGATCCTGGTGACCATTTAATTCCTCTTCGGCACTTGCCAAAATTGCCGGCCCGTTTGCAACTGAAGGAGCTGGCCAATGCCCAGCTATTAAAATAACCTGCCGCATCTCCCAGGAAACGCCTAAAGTTTTTATGGAAATCCTTGCGTATCTAGGCGATAACTGTTCAGGGCCCACATCTATTTCGCCTGGAATGACTAACCTTCGTTGGCTGTTCTGCGGACCATGTTACTGAGTCCTTCTATTTATTTGGCTGACGATTAGATTTCGCATTGTCTGCTAATTGTTTCGGATGATGAGGCCCTGGATCATTGTGAAATGTACGAGCAAGTTTTTTTTTTTTTTTTTTTTTTTTTTTTTTTTTTTTGCATCAGATTTTAATTGCGTATGCAGCTATCTAGCTATGACACAATATCAAAGAAAAGTACAGAATATATGATTCAACGTAAAGGAAGAGCACTCATGCCTCAGATTTCATTTGCAAGTACCACTGCGAAGTTATACGAGCAAGTTTGTTGGGCGGTGTTAGAATGGTTGCAGGTTTGTCCTGATAGCATATTCAACCGGGGGGCCGTGGCTTCCTTCAGGCCCTAGCACTTTGCATGATGCGACTAGTCAAAATCTTAAATTTAACCAAATGGAGTGAGTAAAGGATATCCATCTGGACCTATTCATGCGTTGCAAAAGACCACCGGAACTAGCTTTACCAAGATGGGCGTACCGTCGTCTTATTGCGGCAAGAACAGGCCACGGGGACTATGCCGACTACCATCGACGTTTCAACCCCGAACATGAAGATCTGAAATGCGTTTGCGGCCGAGAGAAAAGGCCCTGGCATTTTTCAGAGTGCCGACCTGCTTTGCTACGTTGAAGAATCTATGAGAAAATGGCCCCACCTGGGGCCAGGGAAATGATAGGGGAGAAGGGATGGCAGAAGTTCATTCAATTCTTAATTACAAGCAGATGTTACAGTCTGCCGAAGAATGTACAGGGTGGGAGGTGACCACGCTGAGATTGTTTCTGACCCGAGGAGATGGGTGTGGAAGATAGGGATGCGGCGCAGGGCACCGTAACTCAGACATAGGAGGGCAAGACTGAACACCTGTCAGTGGTGCTCTCTACGAACCTGGGAGTGAAATATTCTCCCAGAGCCAAGTTCAGTCAAATTTCGCAATATCAAAGAAGTTGGCCCACGAGGCAAAAATTCAAATTACTACACCATGTCAATCTTTCACTCCCAAAGAGTCCGATTCTCAACTAAGCTTCATCAAGTCTACAAGTACGACCTAGTACATCCTCGTTTCAATGACCACACCTCTCGTCGACTTTCTCTGGCCTCAACCGGTCACCAAATACACGCCCACGCCGATATTTACACCCGACGGAGGAAGCAAAGCGTGGAGCACAATTTTGGGAGATAGCTCTTTGGAACGGACGTGAGAGGGATCAGGACAAGTTTACAAGATGATGCAGAAGAGGGATACATTCTCGACGGGCGTGAAATTTCGAATTTTGGAAAGAGTTTTAAGAATTGAGCTTTGTGCGCGCCAAGACTTCGCTTG